ACACACACACACACACACACACACACACACACACACACACACACACACACACACACACACACACACACACACACGCGGAGAAAATCTACAGTGTGGTCAGTCCATTTACTCCTCAGATCTTTTCTCCAAGCCCAGAATGGATCATGACAATCCTTCTGGCCCACCCTATTCCAGCAGAGATGGAACTGCTGTATGGTGTTATCCTCCAGGATAAGAAGTCATGGTTTACCATTGCCTCTATGGACTGGTTTTTGGGGCAGGGTGCAGTGCATTCTGGAATAACAGAGGACTGTGCCATGTCCTATCATGTTCTAACTGTCCAGATGTTAAAATCGTTTAATGTTTCATTTAATGTCTGGGATGTCATGGGCTATGTATGAGTTTCACACAACATAAGTGAAACATAAGTGGGCCCTGGGACACTCACCCTTTTTGTGCAGTGGGAATGTCCCTGATTTCCATAAGCAGTTGAACTCAACTACAAATAGCAGCTCTCCCTGTCACTGTTGCCATAATGTTTGCCTTGCAGATGTCTAAATCAAAACAAAATAAAGTGTGGACAAGGCCTAAATTGAAATAGAGATGTTGGTGGTCAGTGATTATTTAAAATCTTGCCTTTTGTGTCATGGCAGCAGGCATCTTTCCAGCGATGTTTTGAAGCTGCAGAAATTTAAATGGTGGCTTTTCCTCTCACTTGTATTCATCAATCTTCTCTTCCCCTCCTCCATGCTCCAGTGAGACTGTCTGTGCTTTACATGTTCTTCATCAAAGGCTTTGCAGTCCTTTTGAAAGTAATTATAGCATTTTGTTTGATCTTCCAGGTCCTGTGCTGTGCCCCATCAAATGTGGCAGTAGATAATCTAGTGGAGAGACTTGCCGCTTACAAGGTGAGGATCCTGCGTCTGGGTCACCCAGCTCGTCTCTTGGAGTCCATCCAGCATCATTCCCTGGATGCGGTTTTGGCCCGTGGAGATAACGCCCAGATCGTGGCTGACATCAGGAAGGATATTGACCAGGCATTCGTATGTGTCTCATACCGCTCACAACATGTTTTCTCTGTAATCTGAGCACTTTCTCAATAATACTTGTATTGCCAAACAGTGCTCTGCATTTGTGTTAACATGTCAAGCACTTTATACCTCAATAATAACTTCTTTTCTACTTCCAGTTCACTTGAGATCATAGGAAAGTAGGGCTGGCAGGGACCTAACAAGGTCATCTAGTTCAGCCCCTGCTCAAGGCATGATCATGCTGGATTAAACCATCCCAGTCAAGTGTTTATCTTAACTGCTCTTGAAAATTTCCAGGGATGGAGATTCCACAGCTTCTCTAGGTAGCCTGTTCTAATTTTAACCACTCTTATAGTCACAAAGTCCGATCTAAACTTCCTCTGTTGCAGTTTGAGGCCAGTGCTCCTAGACCTATCCCCTACAGCAACAGAGAGAAATCTATTTTCATCCTCTTTATAATTGCCCTTCAGGTATTTGAAGAGAGAGATTTGAAGGTAGGCAGCTCCAGTGTGCAATTAAGCATCACACTCACCTGTCTTTTTAAAGAGCAACTGGGAGAAAAAACAGGCCTTAGATTTATTGCAAATTAATTATAGTGCAAATAGCTTAAAATGATACTTGGATTAATTGCATGAGCATGGTTTCAAGCCTGTAAGGATCCCACATCCCTGAAAGTGAGATAAGGTGATGAGTTTGGACCTATGTTGAAGGTCATTTAAACAATGTATATAGCACAGATTCTTAAGCCTGGGGTTTACCTTTGCTTGCCTGGTAGGGATTGTTGTAAGGCCCACTAAAGGTTAAATATAATACACTCTAGAAAACTGTCTGCATAACCATAGTAAATTGATTCAGAAAGAACACTGTAGCTGTCCTTTCCAAAAGGGCCCAGAAGCGGGGGTAAGAACAGCGGACCTTGGGCTAGGGGGCCCAGCTAGATAAAAGGGGTGCAAGCTCAAAAGGCCAAGGCCCTGGCAAATGATTGGAGGCCTGACATTGTACTGGGGGCAAGCTGCCCCATTACAGTGATTAACCAGTAATACCTGCAAAACCTGGGCATGGTTGTGGGGGCAGAAGGAAGCCACAAAATTAGCCCTTAATGTAAGTAGGGCCTGAGAGAACAAGAACTAAGAGTGAGCGAGCACCCTAGGTTCCTCAGCCTCCCCTCATTACTTTTAACATCAAGGTGTGGTAGGTGAGAAAGCAGGGTGAGACCCTGGAGCCAGGTACAGATGGTCAAAAACTTGAGGCTGAGTCGATTCAGTCTTTGCAGGTTAGTTTAAGCTGCACAGATTACATTCAAACAGAAGTAAACAGACACTTTGATTCAGGAAATGCAGCCACGTGTCTGCAATGCCTCAGGCCAGAAGCTGGGGGCACTAGAGCATGGCTCTCTGGCTGTGTGGTCACTTCCTCTTCCCTGCTGCCCTTGTGGTCTCTGGGATTTTCAGTCCATAATTACAGCAGCAGGACTCTGCAGGGTTGCTTATTACTTCCTCTTCCTGCTTCCAGGTGCCTCTTGGATTTGTAGTCCACAGTTGCAGCCAGCAGTAAGTTTAAGCAGGGAAAGGCATGTTTAACCCCACACCCCAGGCCCAGACCCCAGCCGGGGTTTGCCTGGGGGGAGGCAGTCCCTCCCCTGTAGACTGGGCTGCATCCCCCATCAGCCAACCCTCACTGCTCCAGCTAGGGAGCAGAGGGGCAGGACCAGCCCTGCTC